CTGTCTAAACTAAAGTACTTGTCAGCTGTCAATCAGCCATTTAAAAATATTCACGAAGAACAAAAGCACTCGCTATCTGCTAAACCTCTCAGCAACATGCAGTTCAGTGAAAATATCTGCAGCGATCTGCTAGCACAGAAGGAGGATTAATCTTCTAATTTACTGCTTTATGTGTGAGTTCTTAAAATTCACCAATCAACCAGTGCGGTGCAGATGTCTGACTTCTCTTTCAAACAGCTCTGGCTGTGCTCATCACGCAGTGAACACACACATTTGAGCTTCATCTCTGCCACAAATTCAACAGCATAAAGAAGGTTGCAGCAGGACTGCATCAGCATTCAATCCTAGTCTCAATTAAATTACTGTCAAAACTCCTGTTTGGTTTCACTAATGGCAGAATTTCATACTCTGTAGGATCGGAGTTTTATATCTATTAACTATCACAGCATGAACTGCGATGTGCAACTGTGCTATTGTGAATGTGCAAAGGTTTGCAAAGTCAATTACTCAAAATTTATTGAATGATTCTGAATCACAAATGTGCTGGAAGAACTCCAGATCCATTTGTTGTCTCACCATGAAGAGAAATAAAAGAATAACTTAATGGCTATTTCAGGTCTCAATCAGATTTTTAGCTGGGGTATCAGACTTCATCCTAGCCACCCATGTGCTCATTAGTTACTGTTGCGAATGCCCATAAACCTACTGCTGAGGCTCTCTGATTGTTAAACAAATCCTATTTCAGCCAGAACTTCAGAGAACGCATCACCAGGAGCTGCACTGTAAAGGAGAAATGGATCTGTCACTCTCACATGTTACCAGCTATGACTGGCAAACCTAAGGAGAAAGTACACCAAAACCACTCCTGAGCTGCAGAGTAGATCTCAGAACCTTTCCATGGGAAAACCCAGCTCCATTATCTGTCAAGTCAGCTACAAGAGCAAGAGTTTTGGTTAGTCTCTCCGCTGACACCCCACAGGCTGTGCTGGAGCAAAAGGTGCAGGTTGCAGTACACTGCTAGTCCTCCATGTACCTTCAGCCTCTGGTAGACCTCAGGAGGAAGGTTTTTAAAGTTATGTAGAGGTCTGAAAACAGCAAGAAATGCCTGTGAAGATTGTTAAAACCTAAAGTGGGCAATGGAAGTTAGGAAGCAAATCTACTTCCAGGCTTATACAAATCCATCTTCTGTACTTAGGCACCTTTGAAGGCCAAACCTACTGCAGCTCCACATTTTGGCTACCCCTCACCCAGGTTTCATTAGACTTTTTTGGGAAAAAAGGTACCATTCAGTCTTCACCTTCACAATTGCTCCAGGAGGCCTGAGGGGAATCTTGTCTTGTCTACCAGAGAGGAAATTGCTTCCTGCTAACAGCTGCTGTGCTATTGTACCCTGTGCTATAGGTACACAACACTGCTTAGACCACAGACAGAAGAAAGGGTTTGTCAGAGGGAGAGAGAGAGAGAATGTTTTGTATTAATTTATTCACTTTTAATGTGCTGCTTTGCTTTCAAAATCAAGCTCCTTGGTACAAATCACCCAGCTGGTTCCACCAAGTGACAGCCAAGGGTGCTGTCCTGTCCTGAGGATGTAAGATCCCAGGCAGGGTCACCAAGATCACAGGACAACATGAGAACTGTTTTTCCTCCACAAACCAGTTTTAATTTACCCCAGCTGTAAAGGTCCAAACCTCAAAATGTTTACGGCTGTTAAGGGCACCAGAAATCTTTCACTGGACAGATGTCCCATTGTAATGGGAGCCCTCTCATGAGAAAAAAATCCACAAGCTAGAGACCAAGTTTCAAAAAGCAGCAGCTTGGTCTGCCATTTGCTTTCATTTACAACCTAAAAATGCTACAGGAGTTTTAAAAAACTTCAGGCTAAGAGGAGAAAGCAGTTGCCCAGGTGTTTTTACATATGTCAATGCATATACTTTACACTGAAGGACAGCTCCATGCCAATATGCCAAAACTCCAGCTGGTACTTACCTGTCCTCAGTTACTGTCTGTTCTCCTAGGAGGTAGGTGATACAGGGTGTTTAGGTTCTGAAGCAGCAAAAGTATGTGCCACTTGTAGTAACACTATTTGTAACGATAACAAGATATTACCGTCCTAGTTCACATGCTTTGAACTAGAAATCAAACCATTTTAAAAACGCAGATAGCCATTAGCAAAAAGGGAATTGAAGCATCAAGAAAAGATATCAAAATACATAGCAGAAGAATATTAGAGCTATTCTCTACTAATTTGCTGATCTACAGTGCCTCCATGAATGGGTTTTGGTATTGTGCATGACTTTTATTCTTTTACTGCAGTTGCTGATATGTGAAGATTATTTTACAATTTTATTTTTCCTTTTCTAAACAGATGTGTTGGAAAAAAATCAAAGCTTCTGGAAACTTAACTATAATCAAAATATAGGCTCCTAGCTGTTATTTTTGGAAAGCATGGTTCAAAACTCTTTTTAAGCACCACAAATCACAGAATACAGCAGTTGGTGCAGGATACAAACGTATGTGAAGTGCAAAGCGCTGTGAAAACATGCAACTTCAGTGTACTATGGAGTTTTAAATACATCTGAGTGAAAGAGAACTTAAAATGGAAAATCAAAACCATTTCTCCCAAAGCAATGTACAGTGAACAGAATATTTGTAGTGTTATTCAACAAAATGCCAGCAAATACTGATCCACCCACTAGAAGATGAGAAGTGATATACAAGCATGTGTTATTGTTTTTGTTATTACACAACTGCAAAAGCCCAGTAGTCTTAGCTCCTCTAATTGTGAACTGGCTTTTCAAAATCATCATTATTATTATTATTATTAATTTCAAAATAACTTCATTACACAATTTATCTAAACTGCTTTCTTGATTGATACAGATAAAAATAATATTGAATATTCTACAAAAATGTTTGTTTCCCTTCAATGTTTTTTCAAGTCATCTAAATGTAAGTTGTTTTTTTCTCTGGTCTTGATTTTTTTTTTTTTTTTAAACACAGCCAGAAAACCTCAAATCACTTATTTGTACAGTTTTACTGCAGACTTAGCACCTCAAGGTTTCTAAGCCCTCCTCTTCCAAACACAGCAGTTGAATGATGTAAAATGCCAAGATGCTTTCAACAGCACTTTGGCTAACAAGGAAGGCCACTCTACAGCTATTATTACCGCCTCACCTTTCCAATATCTTGCTAAAAGCTACTTAGCTGTTTCAAAGAATGCATATTGCCCTTACAGTGATTAAGGGAGACACACACACAGAGCCCTAAGAAAACTTAGCAGCTGAGAAGCTATTGACTAATACTAAGTACATAACATCTGAAGCACATACCAAGGTCAGCAGGGCTTTTACAAGAGCTGTCTGTGCAATCTCACAGATGGACCTTTATATCAGTGCAGAGGCTGTGATCAGACAAAGTGGCCAATTTGCCTTGGGGCAAGAGTTTAAAACATGCCTTGATCTGTTTAAAAAACTCTCTAAGCTCCAGAATCAGTAGAGGCAGTGACAAGCAATAATAAAGGTCTCATTAAGCCTCCGTGGAATCAAATACAAATTCCCCTTGTTGCTGGTCTCCCCGACTTCAAACACTCACTTAGTTGCTTGAGGAGAGCCCTGAGAAGAGGTGGGAGCCAGGGCCAGCAAAGGTCACAGCTGAACCCTCCATTTCACTACAAGAAAATAAAGGCCTCCTTATATGTAGCGAGCGTCTGCATTTATACGCTTGGCTCAGGCCTGGTGAAGGACTCTGGCATAAATAGGTCTTTGAACCAAAAACACTTCCTGGTGCAGCAGAGTGTAATAGTACCTGATACTTAATCTTGCAATGGTTCCTTGGTTTACATGCCCGTTAACTACAGGGTATTTCTCCAGCTATCAGATTTCTGCTTGGTCTTTGGTCAAGCTCTAGTGCACAAAGCTTCTGTGTCCAAGCAAACTCCCTTATTTTACAATACAGAATGTCAGACTTGGCTGCTTTTCCTAAACACTCAGTTATTTTAATGCCCTGAAGGGTCAATTAAATATATATCCAGCAATATCATTAGTTTAACCAAAAACATGAGATTGAGAACTGTTAGAATTCAAATGAGCAAAACTGTTGGAATAAAAGGCTGCTGGATGTTTTCCAGAAGACTTTTAGGGAAAAGAAAAGCTAGTTTGATCTCCCTCTACATGAAACGCTCTTGTATACTTTGAACAGCTTTTATGCTGTTCATATCATATTTTTCCTTCCTCTTTGAGAAAATGTTACAGTGAAAACAAGGCTGTTGGCAAACACTCCAAGGGTTAACACATAGCAGCTACTTCAGCAGGAGAGAGGGCCATCAGTTGCAAGTACATCCTTCCTTTGCCTCTCATCAGTCTGAAGAACCAACTCTACCCAAATCCCTATTAAAGCATAGAGTGACAGCACTATGGCTTTGCTATAGGCACCATCTGTCTCACTTGCTTTTTCCCCCTTATTCTTCTTTAGGACTTGCAGAAGGTTTAAAATAAATAAGTGCGTACCTTTCCAAAGCACTTGGAAATGGCAGTAACTTCTGTCTCAGCTGCTATGCTAATTTGTGGGAACTATATGAAGGCTGATTATGGCTGATCATCTCAGCTACCATTTTCTCTGTTGATTTTGCCATAGAAAAAAGCCTCTATTCCACATCTGGGATGTCATCCAGAGCACAGAGTGAAACCATCATCATTTAACAGAGGTAAATGAAATAATGTCATCAGGAATACATGCTGGTCTACACTTAGGAGACAGCTATGCCATAATCCAGATTGGAACCAATATCCTTGGGGACAAAAGTTATCCAGCCTCCTACCTGTTGTCTCAGCCTCTAAGGTCTTGGTGACTTGTTATGCGTATGTTATGCGTATGTCACTTCACTGTAGTGAAGTTATTCTTGGTTAGAAATATTTTAGTTTCCTGAGTAACCAGGCTGATAACTGACAAGGAAGTCCTGGTCAAGATGTTATATTTTAAAGTCAGTTTTGTCCTCCACTTACCACATGTGGAAAATAACAATTCTTCTCTTCTTGTGACTTCTTTGTACTTGTACTCAGCTGTGTTCTTAGTAGCTCTCCCCAGTCTGCAACACACATGAAAGGGAGAGAACAGCTGAAAAAGCATTGCAGAGCCCCATTCTGCATAGCTGGGGACAGATGGGGACAACAAAAAATAACATCTATTCTCTGCCCTGTGATCCCTCAAGGATCCTGTAGGATCAAGGAAAGCAATCCTGATCTACAAAAGATCTAAGGAAATTTAATCCTGCTAACATTGTGCACCCCCTGCTGCAACCTGTGGCATTTTGCCTATTCTCCTTCCCCTCATGATTTCCTCCATCTCTCCCTATAGCTTCTATCTACAGTTCCATCACCAAGAATATGTCAGCTTTGAGTCAGAACAATGCTGAAGGAGAAGTTCATGAGCCTGAGCACTGAATTCATAACTATTGAAATAACTCTTGCTCCATCTAGTTTTGTTTGAGGCTGTTATCCCTAGCGCATTGATTCAGAGCAGCCATCTGAAAATAAGATGCTTGACAGGTATGACTTCTTTCACTAGATTGTCTGGAATCAGAAGAAATCTTGCCTGTTGAACTAGTTCAGTCCCTAAGAGTCCCAAAAGGCAGATTAGAAATGCCTGCAAATGGGCCAACTGGAACATCTGTTTTCCATTCTGTCAGCGTTTCCTACCTATCGTGGGCATATGGCAGGGTTGCTTACTGTCTTCATTTCCTCTGTGATGCAGTATGCATATGACATAAGATCAGTGACTCAGTACACTGCAGAATAGCTGTAGCCTCCATTCAGCATGTGCAGATTCTGTTGACTTCCATGGGATTTTCTGCCTGTCCCCAGCACTGAGCATTCAGGTAAAGAATTGCTAACTTCTCTGCACCTGAAGGCATTCCTAAATTAAAGACTAGTCATGTAGGCTGGGTAGGTAGGAGGCAAATTCCTTCTCCCTTTGCATCTTTCTGGCATCTTCTACTACTTTCCTGCAAGATAAATTGGGAAAAGACTTAGTTAGACAGAAAATGTATCTTCAACCCAACATGTTCTTTGAGTAGGGATAATCACACACTGTGTCAGCCTTCCTCTGTCTGGGGTCTCAGCTCAGATTCCTGCCCATGCTTCACCTGGGAGGCAACATTTCCCTAGGAACTGACTCAGAGATTAAGCTAAATCTTGGTAGGACAGACTGACTTTCATTTTGAGCAAAGAAAGGAAGCTAGTGAACACCGGATGACAGAAACTCCCTTTTTCAGGAGCCTTGATAAATCTGCCCCTCTGCATACAAGTACGTGTGCCATATGATGTGTGTGCTTAGGGCAAAGGACCTGGAGAAGCCTGGATGGTTTGGATGTCTGATGGCAACTTCAAGCCACAACTCTGATTAATGCAGATCACCATTCTGAGCTTTATAGGTTTTGAGTGGTCAGCTCAGCCAAGCAGTCATGCTTTCAGTTTGCAGTGTGGCCAGTTAGCTGACATTATAAAATTGGCATTAAAAGAACTTTAATATGTTTGTCTAAATGAGTCATATAGATAGAGCAGTTCATTACCAGAAGCACAGCATTTAAAATCCAGAGTTTTTTATTTTGTTTTGGCATATGACTGTATTACAGTAGTAATTGAATGCATGGATCAATGTGTCACACAGGATTAAACCAAAATCAAATATTTAGTAAGAGGTTTCTAGCACAATTTTATTTTTTATCTTTATTGTTATACTGATTCTCACATTTTTTCCCCACTTCTACCAAAACCTACCTACCTTATCCTTTCATTCTTTAGGAGTATATATCCCCTGGATCCCTTTCTTCACTTTTTCTCTAAGTGTTTTTTTCTTCCTTCAATCCATTGTTCTGGATCACCCTAGGATTAGCAATATCACTGTGAAGTGTCACAGCTTTAGAAATAATTGCTCCAGAGGTCTACATGACTCACAAGCACAGCAATCTCAACTGAGTAGCAAGTCATTGAAAATGAACACTGATAAAATGCATACTTTTCATCACCACTTGTCTTGTTCGACCTGTAGACCTGTACACAATTATGCCACAAATGGCAGAAACTATACTAAGAGTATTCAACAGTGTTTTGCATGGGTTATTCTCATCAGTTCATTTTTTAAATTCTCCTTATCAATAACCATCTCTAATACCCCAAAGAAACCACAGTGAAGTTCTCAGAAAATAACATGATCCAGTGAATGAAGACCAGTAATTAAACAGGAACTTCACCAATAATTTCATGCCAACATCCTAGTTTTTGTAAAGTCCCACTGCAAAGAAGACCAGATTCTCCAACCCACTGGCCACAACTACCATAGGAAGGAAATGGCAACAGGCAGACATTCAAGCACTTCCTTCACATTTCAGAATGCAGCCTACAACAGCCTACACTAAAATGCCTGGTATGTATCACCTATACCTTGGTAGAACCATGTCAAGGCTTGGACTTATACCTGTTTAAGTATTTGGGGTTTATTTTAGCAATTTATGTTAGGAATGAAAATATTTTTACTAGTCAAACTCTGATACATGGAGCAAGCCTCTCAGGGTTGGAAAATGTGGTGAGTAGAAGTTCCAACAGAGATGGTCTTTATGGATTCAAAATGCTGACACTGGGATAATCAGGTCTTCAGAAAAGCCAGTCCCAAAAGCACACAATTATTAGTGCTGACTGGTATGTGCATGTGTGCGTATGTATGCACACACACGTATATATACATATAATACATATATATACATATAATATATATATATATATATTTTATACACATTAGTACAGTTATTGTGTTCAGATACTTTAAGGATTATGATTAGAGTTGACAGAAAGACCAGCAATGATATAAAAAATGATTTTGTATGGGCAGCTGAGGGTGTAGCCATTGTCAACAAAGTATTCAGAATTTGACCTTCATGTAGCACTTGGATTTTTATTTTTATTTGGTTTCAGTAAAAGTGCACTATGGCAAGGCCGTTACAGTATGCACTAAAGTGACTTTAAAAAGATATTGGCTCCTAAAACTTGCAGTCAGAAAAATGTAGAGGCTGGCTCAGGTTTCCTCAGGAGGCTTGGTGAAATTCAAACATCTATAAACCTAATTCAGATCTGTGCAATTCTAAACAGTTATCACCAAAGTTGATTCTCTATCCACCTTGCTTTTAGAAAATTTATCCAAAAACATATGAAAGATGTGGGTTTTGAATTCTCATCCTAGCTGAGGACAGACCTCCATGCATCCTGCAGGAAGCATTGCCATAGACAGGCATATTGGCAGCAATCAGGGCCCTATTTCCAAAATAATCTCCTTGCTGAGCTTCTCCTTCATAGAAGGATCCAGTGATGAGAGAAACCAGTGCCCAGGACTAGTGTTCAATACACTTCTACCTAGGATACATTTTAAATGTAGGATACGACAATTTACAGCAAAGAAATCCATGACCCTAAATAATGAAGCTCTCCATGTCATCCTATGGAGACTACATCATATTGATGTAGAGATTGATTAAACTATGCAAAGCAAGAGCTGAAGAAAGATGAGACTGCGAATCATGTATTTCTAAATCCTGCTGGAAGGGAGGGGAGGCTGTGATGTTCAACAACTACCCAGCACTGTTGAAATGATTTGAAAAAAGTCAGTCAGTGGGGTTCACTAGAGGCAAATAAATCAAAACTCACAGTTCTGAACAAATAAATTTCCTAACTTGTCAGTTTACTCAGCTTTGAAATACGGCTTTCCCAGGGGCATTTACTCTAACCACTGATTTTCCAGACCTCTCTGAACACTTGGGCAAAAGAAAGCAATTACATGGTCACGGCTGCCTGCAGTTGCAGGGGACCGGACCTGTAAACACACAAGGTCCTTCCCAGGGACAAGCGAGGCTGGAATTAATGTGTGTGAACAGAGAACTGGGCACTGCCCTGGAGCTCTTTCCCAGGTGGGCTGACTTTATTTCACAAGTAACAAAAGAGGCAGGAAAATTGCTCAGAGCATGGTGGTTTTAAGAATTTTTCCAGCTCCAGTACACATACATAATCTATTAGGCACCGTGGGTCATTAGGATTATGAAATACCTAACTTATGGGAGAAGATCCTCCTTTTGTCTTCCTAGAATCTCAGTGGCGTGGAAAGGCAGAGAAATAACTATGTCCAATCCCAGCATTAACATGAAACTGCCACGGACAAGTGAAATTCAGCAACAAAAAAAAGGATAGGGCTTGGAGAAATTCATCACGCATCTCGTCTTCATCTTCTCTTTATCTACAAGCCAAATTCACACAGTATTTCTGTGAGTATAAGCCCAAAGACATTTTCTCCAAGGAGATATGCTACTGAAAGTAAAATAACAGCAGCATTTCAAGGGAAAAAAAAAAAATAAATAATAATAATAATTAAAAAAGCAATTGGGAGCATCTTTAGAGCCATTTAGCGTAACTTTTCAGCAGCCCGGTGATCAGACATTTACCGGTATGTGCTGGGCTGATGTCGGCCCCCTCCCCACGATGTGAAGGATGTGATGTGAGGGAGCCGGGGACAACACCGAGGCGATGCCAGGAGGTGGCACTGCGGCTCTGCAGCAGCAGCCGGCCCCAGCAGCTCGCCCATCGCACAGGACTGCAGCCACCAATAAATAAATAAATACATACATACATACATAACCCTGCTCCAAATGACAGAACATCACCATTTTCTGACTCACCGTTGCAGGATTTTTCTGATGGGTAACTCTCACCACGGACAAGTCTTTCAGTGCGTGAACTCCCACTGCAGGAAGACGTGCCTCACAGCCCTCGGATGCCCACTGAACCCACTTCTTGTTTCAGATTTTCATCTTCCTTCTGCCCTCTCTCTGAGGGGCAGGCTTGGGCTGTCCCTTTTGGTTACCCATCCAACTTGCTTATGGCTCTTCTCCATCAGCAGATGAGAAAAAGTTCTTTATACCCTGCCACTTCTCCAACTTTCTGGCTAGCAGCCAGCACTGCACTACTGATCTTATTGTCTCCATCATCTCCAGTCCCTTGCTATCTCCCATGAGCTGTGTTTCCCTGGGGCTCCTGCCTGCTTTTAACT